TGTGCCAGTGCCACAAGGCAGAGGATTAGCCTATTGAGCCATGGCACTGGCTTAAATAAATAAATCTTAAGAAAAATAAAGAGAAAAAAAAAGGGGTAATTGAAAGACTCCAGTGAGTCCTTAGGGCAGAGAAACATGCAAGTACCCATGACCTTCCCTGCCTGCATGGTGGAGGAGATGGTTGAAAGGAGAGACTCCATTCCTACCTCTCCTGTTGCAGAAAGGGCCAACAGTAAAGTTTTGGATCACAGTAGCCTGAGCTCCCCCCAACACCCCCAGTCTACCACATTCCCTCTCTTGTGACAGACATTCCCAGCTCTACTAGTACATGAACAAAACTATGATCACTCTGGAGAAGATCCTAAGTTTGAGCAGAAGGTCAAGGTAAAAACTGAGAAGGCAGGAGGAGTGAAAAAGCAGGACTGCCCCAGCCCTTGGGCCTATCAGTCTTGTGTACATCTTCTTCCTGTTCCATGGGGAATGAAGAGTGATTGGTCTGGGAACATTCTTAGGGGCTTTTCTGATGTTTTGTCTGGAAGAAATCAGAAACATCTATAATCAAAAAAATTTTACAATTCAATATTCCATGATGATTCCAACTGGAATCAAGGGATTCCCCCCTCCCCCAGGGCCTTTGAAATGTTGGTGTGTCACTTGTGCCACCCTGTCAAATGCACAGGGTGCAGGACTGCAACTCTGAAGAGGCAAACAGGTCTCCCAGGTTCTGAAGAACTTTGACTCACCTGTGTATTCTGATTCCTACAAGTCCATGTGAGCTAACCCAACTCTTCCTGCACATGTGCAAAGTCACATGAATGTAGCTTTTGAGACAAGTCTCCATCTCTCAGTGGCCTATGAAAATTCAACATCAACATATGCATATTCCCTTGACGACTTTATTGGGTTCTTTTTTGATTTAACTTGGATTTTCACTGAGTCCTTTTACCTACTGACCAGTAGAAAAGTTATGCACACAAGCCTACCGACCTCAAAAGTAGTAACTCAGGGAAAAGCCCTGTGGTGTAGCAGATAAAGCTGCCGCCTACAGTGCCAGCATCTGATATGGGTGCTGGGTTGAGTCCTGGCTGCTCCACTTCCAATGCAGCTCTCTGCTATGGCCTGGGAAAGCTGATGATGGCCCAAGTCCTTGGGCCACTGCACTCACGTGGGAGATCTAGAAGTTGTTTCTAATTCCTGGGTTTGGATCAGCCCAGCTCCAGCTGTTGCAGCCATCTGGAGAGTGAACCAGTGGATGAAAAACAAATTCTCATTCGCTTGCTCTCGCTCTCTCTCTCTCCCCCTTTCTCTCTAATTCTGCCTAACTCTTTCAGATACGTAAATAATATCTTTAAAGAAAAAAGCAGTAACTAACTCAGAGAGAGACTTGGTGTTAGACATTCTAGTGAAAGACCTGAAAATGAAGCAACTACCTTCTACTGAAATCAACAGACCCCAAAATAGAAATCCACATGCCAATTCTAACCGCCCATGAGTTCTCAGCAATGGTGCCACTTTATCACTGTTGTTTTTCCAAAGGATCCTTATATATGTAAGCTACTGAATACCTCTGTGACCATTTTGTCTCATATTGTGCATAAAATTCGCAGTTTACAACATTTTCACATTTTTAACGACAGTTGTTCATTACCCACAGGCTAGTTTATATTTTCCCATGATTCTACAGCATGCGCACTGTGAACCCTGTGCCCATGTTTAGGAACTGTGCGCAAGCAATCCGCCCAGTGTGCATGCGCAGCGTGATCTCGGACATTTCGACGCATGCACAATGTAAAATGGCCGCCATGGCCAGGAATGAGGCGCATGTGCAGTAGGAAACATACCCAGCGCACATGCACACTGTGACCCTGGGCAATTTGACGCATGCACATTGTGAACCTGGGCCATTTTAGCTCATGCCCATTATGACTCACGGATTTTGCGCATGTGCAGTGTCCCCCAGGCACCGCCCCGCCATGGCCACGCGCCGTGCACCTGGGGCTGCTGTCGTTGCTGCTGAGCACGGGGCTGCACGCCCAGAGTGAGCTGGGGTGTGGGCAGGGACGCCGGGGGCGCCGGGGTGGGGGCACAGCGACCCCCCGAAAACAGCCCCAGGGTTCACGGGTCCTGACTCCGCCCCATAGCCAACTCCCGGCGTGCACCACAGCACCAGCAGGGCTCTGGGGGCTGCATCCAGGTCTCCAGCAGGTGCAGAGCGGCTCCATCCGGGTCTCCTCTGGCAGGTGCACGGGTCCCCAGGAAGGTGTTGCGGACCCGGATGGAGCCCCTGTGGGACCCAGACGCAGCTCGCGGAGTTGGCCTGGGACCCGGGAAGCTGCTGGGAGCTCGCGGGGGCGGGCCCGGGTGGAGCTCCTGGGGCAGATTCTGGGGGTGACAAAACATTCTGGAATTTTTTTTTTATATTTTTTTCATGGAAAGCTCATTTTTTTTAGTTGCTTTTTGACCTTTTTCTGTCAAAGCAACGGATTTTCTGACTGAAAAAATATTCTAGAATGTTCTGGAGTGTTCTAGCAATTGCTTCCATGTTGATTGTTGGCCCCTAGGCCATTTTTTCTCATTTTTTAAGACCTTTTTTGTCAGAAAACAGGTTTTCAGACTGAAAAAAAAATTCTAGAAAATTCTGGAACATTCTGGGTTTTTTTTAAGATTTTTTTTTAATGGAAACCTTATTTTCGCTCATTTTTTCACCTTTTTTCTGTAAGAAAAACATGTTTTCTGACTGAAAAAATGTTCTAGAAAGTTCTGGATTGTTTCTAGAAGTCGCTTGCATGTTGTTTGTCCCTAGGCTGTTTTTTGACCTTTTTAAAAAATTTCTGTCAGAAAAACAGGTTTTTTAACAGAAAGAAACATTCTGGAACCTTCTAAAACAATCTACAATATTCTGGAAATTTTTTGAGGATTTGTTTTCTGGGGAAACAGATTTTTATCTTTTTTTGACCTTTTTCCTGTCACAAAAATGGGCTTTCTGACTGAAAGAATATTCAAGAATGTTCTAGAAATTGATTTCTTGTTGATATTCCCTAGGCCAGTTTTTCTCATTTTTTTTTTTAAACTTTTTCTGTCAGAAACAGGGGTTCCCTAACTAAAAGAACATTCTGGAACATTCTGGATTTTTTTTTTAAGATTTCTTTCATGGAAACATCATTTTTGGGCGATTATTTTTTTACCTTTTTTGGTCAGAAATACAGGTTTTAAGAAAGAATGTTTCTAGAATGCTCTGGAAAGTTCTAGAAATTGCTTTTGTGTGTTGATTGTAGATCCCTAGGCCATTTTTCTCATGTTTTTAGATTTTTTCTGTCAGTAAAAGAGGTTTTCTTACATAAAGAACCTTCCAGAATATTCTGGAATTTTTAAATTTTTTTTTTCCATGGAAACCTCATTTTGGGTCATGTTTTTGACACTTTTCTGTCAGAAAAATGGATCTTCTCACTGAAAGAATGTTCTAAAACAGGTTTCCTGACAGAAACATCATTCTAGAATTTTCTAGAACATTCTAGGATGTTCTAGAAATTTGCTTCCATGTTGTTTCTCCATAGGCCATTTCTTGTCATTTATTGACTTTTTTTGTTAGAAAAATGGATTTTTGACGGAAAGAACAATCTACAACATTCTGGAATATTCCAGAAATTTTTTTAAAGCATTTTTTTCATGAAAGACTCACCTTTGGCCTTTTTTCAACTTCTGTCAGAAAACCTGATTTCCTGACCCCCCCCCCAAAAAAAGCTATGTTCTAGAGCATCCTGGAACATTCTAGAAAATTCCAGAAGCCAGAAATGCCATACAATCTTCCAGATTTGGTGCCAGGTGGTCTCAGGCAGGTCCTGGCACACACTCCCATGCTTCTCCTGGCCACTTTGTTCTGGCCGGAGCCAGCCTGAGCCCAGGGCAAGTAGAGCGAGAAATCGGATTAAAGGATTTCACGCTGTGGAACTGGTCTGAGCCAGTTTTTTCACTGAGACACAGAGACCTGGAGTGACCTCCCCATGGAACTCGAGGTCATGCCTGGGCGCCCAGGCACAGAAGATGCCAGAAAAATCTGGATTCTGGACAACTCTGGAACATTCCTCTCCAGAACGTGCTAGAATTTCCCGGGATGTTCCAGAATGTTCCACAATGTCCCAGAATGTTCTAGGCTGGTCCAGACTTTTCCCCGAATGTTCTAGAATTTTCTAGGATGTTCTAGAATGCTCCAAAATGCCACCAAGTGAGTCTGGGGGGATGCTGGGATGCAGGTCTGAGTGGAAATTCCCCGGCTGGGTGTGATGGGCCTCCTGGCACCGCACCCAGCCCAGCTGACATTTACACAGGCCACACAACCCACGTGCACACATACAGTGTGGGAGGGGGGCCTGAGGCTAAGGCCAACCCAGGACATCACGTGCCCATCTCTGGGGGCTGTGGAAATTTCCAGCCCATCAGGGGAGGTACTCGACCCCCCAGGATGCTCACTGGGCGCTTTGTGATGTTCTAGAACATTCTACAAATTTCTAGAAAACTCCACAAACCTTCTAGAACATTCTAGAGAATTCCAAGACCCCCCCCCCAGGCACTCACCAGGCATTCTGGAGAGTTCTAAAAGCATTCTAGAAATTTCTAGAAAATCCTAAGTATATTCCCCAGATGTTCTAGAAACATTCCAAGACCCTGAGGACACTCACCAGGCATTCTGGAGCATTCTATGAACATTGCAGAACATTCCAGACTATTCTAAAAAGTTTTAAGAACATTCTAGAAAATTCCATAGAATTCTAGAACATTCTAAGACCCCGGAAACACCCACCAGGTGTTCTGGAAAATTCCAAGCCCCACAAAATCCATGACGAAATCTCCAGGAGCATTCAGGTACCTCCTCCCTTCCCTGGCGGCAACCCAAATGTTTGCACGACCTCGGCCCCGCCTACTCCCGCCCCCCCCAGCCCCAATTATAAATAGACGCCGGGTCCCAGTCGGCTCCAGACGGCTTCAAAGACGACGAAGACGAGGACGAAGACGAGGATGAGGACGATGATGAAGGCTCTCCTCCTCGCCCTCGTGGTGGGCGTGGCCTGTGCCGACGTTGACCCCACCCAGGTATTATTAATTTGCGTCATTAAATCGCATCATTAATTCACATTAGTTCACGTCATTAGTTCGCATCATTTCTTTGCATCATTCGTTTGCATCACTAATTCGCATCATTAATTCGCATCATCAATTTGCATCATTTCTTCAGGTCTCTGGGCCCTGGCGCACCGTCGCCATTGCCTCTGACAACCCCGCCCTGACCGCGGACGGCGGCCCCCTGCGGGTGCTGCTTCGAAACATTCAGTGTGACGAGGGCTGCAACGCACTGACGATCACCTTCTTCGTCAGGTGAGCATGGGGGCGGGGCCAGGGGAGACGAGCCGAGCCCAGAGTCAGAGACAAAGGGGGGAGCAGTGGATCCCAGAGACGGGAGAGCAGTCGAGCCCAGAGTCAGAGAGCTGACAGTCCGCTTAGATGTCAAGTGAGCAGGGGTGGGGCCAGGCGGGCTAGGCAGAGGGAGAGATGGGGAAGCGGTGGAGTCCAGAGTCAGAGAGCAGGGAAGATAGGAGCAATCGAATCCAGAGAGAGCCAGGGGAGAGCAGTCGAGCCGAGAGTCACAGAGCATATGGCCCAGGGGGAACAGTCAATCCAAAAGACACAGGGAAGACTAGCCAAGCCCAGAGAGAGAGCAGACAGGAGCAGTCAAGCCAAGAGACAGAGCCAGGGAAGAGCAGTCGAACCCAGAGAGTCAGGGGAGAGCAGTCAAACCCAGAGAGAGCGACGGGTAAAGCAGTGGAGCCCAGAATCAGAGAGCAGATGGCCCAGGGGGGAGCAGTCAAGCCCAGAGACACAAGGAAGATGAGCTGAGCCCAGAGAGAGGGCAGGCAGGAGTAATCAATCCCAAAGACCAGGCATTCATGAGTAGTTGATCCCAGAGCCATCGAGTGGGTGGGCCAGGCAGGAGCAATCTATCCCAGAGAGCAGGCCAGGCAGGAGCAGTTGAGCCCAGAGACCAGGCATGCAGGAGTAATGGATCCCAGAACTGTCCTCCCGGCCCATCCCCCCACCCAGGGAAAACGGGGTCTGCACCCTGCACACAGTTGTGGCCCAGAGGAACGCGGATGATGTCTACGCAACTGACTGTGAGTGCAGGGGGGGATTCTGGGACGTTCCAGAAAATTTCAGGACATTCCATGGGGCAGGGGCAGGGGGTGGGGGTGGGACTGTCTGTGCACAGCCCTGGGGGGGTCGCAGGTGACTTCAGGTGATATTCCAGGAAGAGAGCTTTGCAGAATGTTCTAGAATGTTCTACAATGTTCCAGAATGTCCCAGAATATTTCAGAAAATTCCCAGAATATCCCGGATTTGCTCTAGAATGTTCCACAGTCTTCCAGAAATGTCCCAGAGTGTTCTAGCATTTTCCAGATGTTTCCACAAATGGTCCATGATGCTTTTCTGGAATGTTCTAGAACATTTCTGAATCTCCTGGAATGTTCTAGAACATTTCGGAATCTTCCAATTTTGCACCAGATAATTCTAGGATGTTCCAGAATGTTCTACACAATACCACAACGTTCTGGAATGTTCTAGATAAAGCTTCTGGGATGTCCCAGCATGCCCCAGAATGTCCCAGCATGCTCCATAATGCCCTGAAATGTTCCACAATGTCCCAGCATGCCCTGGCATGCCCCAAATGCCCACCTCTTCCCCACAGTTGAGGGCCAGAACTACTTCAAGTTCCTGGAGCAGGACAACGGCCACATTGTCTTCCTCGGCCAGAACGTAGGTGCTGATGGCACCGTCAGCCGCATCACCCTTGCCGCCGGTGAGCACCCTACACACACGCGTGTATACAGCCGGTACCCACTACAGAGAGAGCCTGCCCCCGACTGTATACATTTGGCACCCACTAGATAAAGTGAGCGTATACAATTGGCACTCCCAGACAGGGCGAGTGTATACAGTCAGCACCTACTAGATATCCAGATGGTTTTTGCTGAATGTATACAGTCAGCACTTACTAAGCAGAGCCATCCTGACCCCATCCTATCCTGGGTGCATTTGGTCAACTGTTCACAGCCGGTGCATACTGGAGAGAGAAAGCCATCATGACCCTGACTGTATACAGTCAGCACACACTAGCAGAGCCATCCTGACCCTGAGTGTAGACAGCACCAACCGCATGCTGCCCCAGGTGGGTCTGGCCAGCAGTATGCAGCCTAGGTGCATACAGTTGGCGCCAACCCCAGTGGTACACTGAGGGCACCAACTAGATGGAGGCACCCTGACTGCATATAGCTGATGCACACTAGACAGAGGCACCCTGAATGTATACAGTCGGTGCTGACCTTGTGCTGCCCTGGCATTAAGCAGTGGGTACCCACTAGACAGGGTAAGTGTATACAGTCAACACTGAACCTGGCGGTATGCAGTGGGCGCCAACTAGACAGGGTGAGTGTATACAGTCAGCATTCCCTGTAGCCCGGGACCAGGAGCTGAGTGACGAGCACCTGGCGCGGTTCACGGCGCTGACGGAGAAGACTGGGATCCCCAGGGAGAATGTGGATCGTGTGGCCGGCACGGGTGAGCCTGGGGTGTGGCCAGGGTGGAGGGGGTATGGCCAGGTGGGAGTGGGGGCGTGGCCATGGTGGGCATGGCCATAAGTCAGGGGCGGGGCCGGCATGTGAGAGCTGGGTGGAGGGGGCATGGCTGGCACGTTCCAAGGGGCTCCAGAAAAATCCAGAATGTTCCAGGGAGTCCCAGAAAATTCCAGAACGTTCTGTGCAGCCCATGGGCCACCCTGTGCTGACTCAGCTGTGTCTCTCTCTCCCTGACAGATACCTGTCCCCAGTGACACCAATGCCGAGGCCCCGGTGAGCAGAGCCATGGTGCCAGCTGGTCCCCGCGCCTCCCCAGGAGAGCATTCTGGACATTCCAGAATATCCCAGAATGTTCTGGAATACCCTAGATGTTCCCAAGGCCACAATTGCCCCCCAGTGGGCGGGGCCATGTTCTAGATTGTCCAGATTATTCTAGAATTCCCTGGAATATTCTAGATGCTCCCAACACGGCCACGGTCGCCCCAGTGGGTGTGGCCATGTTGCAGACTGTTCCAGAATGTTCTAGAATTCTCTGGAATGTTCTTGAACATTATTTAACATTCCAAAACATCCCTTTTTTTCTCCGTTTCCCCCCTCCCCGCAACAGAACAGCCGAGATACTCTCACCGACGTCTCCCTGCCCCTCGGACGCAATCGCCACTGGAAGCTTCCAGAATGTTCTGGAATGTTCTAGAATGTCCTGGAAGCCTCTGTCCCCAGCTCACCCTCTCTCTGCTCCTCTCTCTCACTTACGCCATAAACTGCATTGCACACGACTGTGGGTTCTGTGGTCTTTCTGGAATGTTCCATGGCTGGATCCCCACATCTGGCTCCCAGAATCCCCTGGGAGAAGCCAGGACCCCACTTCTGGCTCCCAGAAACCCCTGGGACTCCTACTCCAGCACCGTCTTCCCCACCACCTGCGCCTTGTGGGGACACAGGTTTGGGGATCAGGACTGTCAATCACCATAGTCCCGCCTCTTTCTGGCTGCCAATCATGATAACCCCGCCCCATCTCTAGGCCCTGAGCTTCCACCAGGGGCTCCATCCGGGTCCCCAACAGGTGCACAGGGCTCCCAGGAGCTCTATCCGGGTCCCCAGGGATCTATCTGGGGCTCCAGAGGTCCCTAGGGATCTATCCAGGTCTCCAGGGCTCCATCTGGGTCACCAGGGGCTCCATCCGTGTCCCCAGCACGTGCTCATGGTTCCCAGGAGCTCCATTTCTGGTCCAGCTGGGACCTCAACAAAGCTGGGACAACCCAGTGGCCACCAGGCCAGGACCATGGGACAATCCGGGAACCGTGGGAAAACATGGTGCCCTGGCACCTCTGGGCTGTGGAGCCCAGATTCGGGGGAAGGGAGGGATCGCCCAGCCCCAGTGAGTGTCCCTAAGGGCGGAGACCCCCGCCCCTCCCCCACCCCTGGATCTGGGTCTCCAGGGCTCCATCCGGGTATCTAGCAGGTGCACAGGGCTTCATCCGGGTTCCCAGCAGGTGCCCAGGGGCCCCAGGAGCTCCATTTCCGGTCCACCTGGGACCCCCGAAGCCTCCGGCCAGGACCGTGGGAACATGGCTAGGCAACCCATGCAGGCGCCCTCAGGGCCTCTGGCCAGCTCTCTGTTGCTAGGCAACAGCCACAGACAACCCGGACCTCTGGGCTTAACCCAGTTTCTAGGCAACGCTAGGAGGCGCACTAATTCTTTAATGAATTTTTAATTTTTTAAATAAAATTTTAAATGAATTTTAATTGAATTTATTTTAAATTAATCTTTGAATTTTTAAAATTAATTTTTAATGAATTTATTTTTAATTATTTTGGACAGCAGTGGCAGCCATATTGGATTCTGGCAAAACTTCTCTGACAGAAACTCGAGGGCGTCCCTGTCAAGGAAAGTTGCCTTTCAGACCCAGGACCGATCTACTGACAGAAACTTGTATGAGAATTAAAATGTTTTTCCTGAGTGACAGGTTTCTGAGTGATGGGCAGGGGTGATCGGTGTTGACAGGTGTCCCCACTGAGACCCCTGGGACCCCCAGAGACACTGAGTGACACCCAGAGACCCCAGAGAACCTGAGACACCCAGAGAACCCCTGAGACCCTCACAGACCCCCCCAGAGCTCCCAGAGACCCCCTGATACTCTGAGAGACACACAGGGACCCCAAGTGGCCCCCAGAGATGCTGAGAGACCCAGAGATCCCCAGAGACCCCTGGGACCCCCTGAGACCCCTGGGACACCAAAAGATGCAAGGGACCCCGAGTGATCCCCAGAGATGCTGAGACCATGAGGGACCCCCCAGAAACCCCCAGAGACACCTGGGACCCCCAGAAACCCCCAGAGACACCCTGCAGTGACTGTAAGAACTCAGAAGTGGACCAGAAGTACCAAAAATGGGTATAAAAGGGACGGAAGTGGACCAGAAGTGACTTAGGAACCCAGAAGTGCAGGGAAGGAAGGAGGGAGCCCACTGAGCTCAGAACCGCCCCCCCAACCTGGGCTGAGAGCCCTGCCCCTGGGTTGAGAGCTCTCCCCGCCCCTTTTTTAAAAGAATTTTTTGGCATCGCGGCTCTTGTCTACCCAGTCCCTGTCCTAGTACAGCATCCTCCGCCCTCTGCCATCCACAGGGTTCATGCCTGCAACGCCCACAGCAACAACCAGGGGGTGGGGCCAGGCTGGAGTCAGGAGCCTGGAGCACTCCATCCAGGCCTCCAGCAGGTGCACAGGGCGCCCAGGGGCTCCATCCAGGCCTCCAGCAGGTGCACGGGGCCCCCAGGGGCTCCATCCGGGTCCCTAGAAGGTGCACGGGGCCCCCAGGGGCTCCATCCGGGTCCCTAGAAGGTGCACAGGGCCCCCAGTGGTTCCATCCAGGCCTCCAGCAGACGCACAGGGCCCCCAGGGGCTACATCCAGGCCTCCAGCAGATGCACAGGGCCCCCAGGGGCTCTATCCCGGCCTCCAGCAGATGCACGGGGCCCCCAGGGGCTCCATCCGGGTCCCCAGAAGGGGCATGGGGCCCCAGGGGCTCCATCCAGGCCTCCAGCAGATGCACGGGGTCCCCAGGGGCTGCGTCCGGGTCCCCAGAAGGGGCACGGGGCCCCCAGGGGCTCCATCCGCGTCCCCAGCAGGTGCACGGGGCCCCCAGGGGCTCCATCCGGGTCCCCAGAAGGTGCACGGGGCCCCCTGGGGCTCCATCCGGGTCCCCAGAAGGGGCACGGGGCCCCCAGGGGCTCCATCCGGGTCCCCAGAAGGGGCACGGGGCCCCCAGGGGCTCCATCCGGGTCCCCAGAAGGGGCACAGGGCCCCCGGGGCTTCATACAGGTCCCCAGAAGGGGCACGGGGCCCCCAGGGGCTCCATCCGGGCCTCCAGCAGGTGCACGGGGCCCCCAGGGGCTCCATCCGGGTCCCCAGAAGGGGCACGGGGCTCCCTGGGGCTCCATCCGGGTCCCCAGAAGGGGCACGGGGCCCCCAGGGGCTCCATCCGGGTCCCCAGAAGGGGCACGGGGCCCCCAGGGGCTCCATCCAGGCCTCCAGCAGGTGCACGGGGCCCCCAGGGGCTCCATCCAGGTCCCTAGAAGGTGCACGGGGCCCCCTGGGGCTCCATCCGGGTCCCCAGAAGGGGCACGGGGCCCCCTGGGGCTCCATCCAGGTCCCCAGCAGATGCACGGGGCCCCCAGGGGCTCTATCCCAGCCTCCAGCAGATGCACGGGGCCCCCAGGGGCTCCATCCGGGTCCCCAGAAGGTGCACGGGGCCCCCAGGGGCTCCATCCAGGTCCCCAGCAGATGCACGGGGTCCCCAGGGGCTGCATCCGGGTCCCCAGAAGGGGCACGGGGCCCCCAGGGGCTCCATCCGCGTCCCCAGAAGGTGCACGGGGCCCCCAGGTGTTCCATCCGGGCCTCCAGCAGATGCACGGGGCCCACAGGGACTCCATCCGGGTCCCCAGAAGGTGCACAGGTTCCCCAGGGGCTCCATCCAGGCCTCCAGCAGATGCACGGGGCCCCCAGGGGCTCCATCCGGGTCTCGAGGGCTCCATCTGGTTCCCCCAGAAATCCATCCAGGCCTCTAGCAAGTGCACAGGGCACCATCTGGGTCCCCAGGGCTCCATCCGGGTCTCTAGCAGGTGCACAGGGCCCCCAGGGGCTCCATCCAGGTCTGGAGGGCTCCATCTGGCCCCCCAGTGTGGGCAGCCACAAACTCCCTTTGTTTACACTTAAACATATGAATGGAGACTTCCTGGCACAGACAATTAGGCTAGGGAGATTCTGGGAAGAGGCAGGAAGAACCTAAACCTTTCACAAGAGATGATATAGATAATCAGTCACACCTGAAACCTGCATTTATCACCTAAGTGTAGTCAATAATTAAGAACCTTATCGGGAACTCTTTGTAACCTTAAAAGCCTTTTTGATATGTAAATCTTTTGTGCTCCTTCTTGTAAACAACTTGTCATGTTTAAATACTACTGGATTTGTTGAATAAACAAACAAACAAAAAAAGCCTTGTTCAGGACTTGGCTTCATTCTTTGCATCCTTGTCCCCACATTCCCACTCTCTGTTTCAGGAAACCCGGTTCATTGTGCTGCAGGCCGGCACACCCCAGAGATCCATCCGGGCCTCTAGCACAGGGCTCCATCTGGGTCCCCAGAGCTCCATCCGGGTCTCTAGCAGGTGCACCGGCCCCCAGGGAGGGAATGCATGCACGGGGTGACAGAAAAAACACAAGAGGGGGCCAGCGGGGACCCAGATGGAGCTCCTGTCATGGATTTAACACTGGGGTGATGATTTATGACACCTAATGCAATATAACCCCTATGTGGGGTTGTTATGACAGGAAAAAATATGGAAGAGTCAAGATGGCGGGCAGCAGCGCGCAGGGGGCGGAGCAAAGGTGGAAGAAGGGGAGTGGCCTCCGTGTGCCCCGACCCCTCCCAAGGACCCAACATGGCCGCGCCGAGGGCGCAAGATGGCGGCGCGCAGCGGGGACGGGGCCTAAGGGGCGACGCCGCCCGGGAGTCGCTGCCCCCACCAGCATCCCTCAGCCGCCGTCGCCGCCCGCGCCCCCGCCGCCCTCGCCGCCCGCGTTCCCCGGACCCTCAGCCGCCCTCAGCGCCTCAGCCGCCGCCACCTTCGCCCTCAGCGCCTGCGTCCCCGGCGTCTCCCGCGTCCCGCGCGCTCTCAGCGCCTCAGCCGCCCGCGTCCCCACTGACCACTGACATGGAAGCCGGGTCTCTGCGCCGACCTCCTCTCCCAGTCCCTCCCCTCCCCGCCTGCCCCTGCTGATGTCACTGCGCCCGCCGTAGAGTGTGTCCTGATTGGTGATGTCTTGCCCTCGCTGCCCCTGGTCCTGATCGATTGGTGATGTCTGCTGTGGGCAGGGAGTCCCTTAGAGTGGGTCCTGATCTATTGGTGATGTCTGCTGTGGGCAGTGAGTCCTGTAGAGTGGGTCCTGATCTATTGGTGATCTCTGGCCCCCCACTGCTCCCCTGCAGGCACCCTGGCCTGAGTCATCGACCTGACTGTGGACCAGGGTCATCGACCTGAAGGAGGGCATGTGCCTGTCCACCTTCTGGTTCAGCCACAAGCAGTGCTGCTGGATGTCCAGCGAGACCACATTCAAGGACCCGAACCACTGCCCACTATGGCAGACGTGGGCGTAGCTGCTGGTCAGCTGCTCTGAGGTGAGCAGGGCCGGGGGCGGGGCCTTGGGACCGAGGGCATTGGGGGTGGGCAGGGCCAGGGGACCCGAGGGCGTCACCCTCAGCATCGGCCATGT